TACCTTTTATTTTAAATTTCCTTTCAATTTTTCATACAATCAATAAGCTTTTTCCTATTTGATACAAACCGCAATTACATAATCAAAGTTGCAGCATATAATTTGTAGTATATATATATATATATATATATATATATATATATATATATATATATATATATAGATAAGAGATCACATACTAACCATGCTTAAAATACTAACTTACTAACTCAATAATATGCAACACATTGAACTTCAATATGCAGTACAAATAATGTAAAGATACACACGGTGAATTTCAATATGCAATAAAATCAATATGCAAAACTTTGAACTTTAATATGCAGTACAAATAATATGCAACACTTTGAACTTCAATATGCAGTACAAATAATGTAAAGATGCACCGTTTTTTATAGTTTGTAGGTTAGCATGAGAGGAATGGTTAGTATGTGATCTCACCCCTATATATATATATATATATATATATATATATATATATATATATATATATATATAGATAAGAGATCACATACTAATCATGCTTAAAATACTAACTTACTAACTCAATAATATGCAACACATTAAACTTCAATATGCAGTACAAATAATGTAAAGATACACACTGTGAATTTCAATATGCAATAAAAACAATATGCAAAACTTTGAATTTTAATATGCAGTACAAATAATATGCAACACTTTGAACTTCAATATGCAGTACAAATAATGTAAAGATGCACCGTTTTTGATAGTTTGTAGGTTAGCATAGGAGGAATGGTTAGTATGTGATCTCACCCCTAGATATATATATATAACTTGCAAAAATCATTTGACGACCTTCCCGATTGAATTGTTTGCTGAAATTTGGTATGGATGAACTAGACTTGATGAGAAACATACACAAAAAAATTTGAGCAAACAATACCACCGGGAAGTCCCCCAAAAGGAGGAGGCCGGACGGCGCTCCGGTCAGGAAATTCCTGACCGGAAGATTACTCTTTATATATATATATATATATATATATATATATATATATATATATACACTTTTTTAAATAATTTCATGTTACGTATCATCATAATAAAAATTACTTTTAAACAAGTTATTATTCTACTCTACATGTACCCGTGCATCACACGAGTATTACGTCTAGTTACTAATAAAAAGTCATGGAGGGACATAATTTTATGACCTATTCTATATATCTATAATTATTAGTGTTTTACCTGATCAATGGAGGGGTATAATTTTATGAACTCACTACTAATTTTCGGGATCGTAAGTAGGTAGCTTGCCCGGTTGCTCCTATGCCCCAAAGTCCTCCACTATTGTTTAATGTTAAAAAAACTCATTTGACCCACTAGCTATCATCTAAAAATACGGGAAAGTTCCCGAAATAGGACTAAAACAGTTTGAAAATTCCAAAATAGGACTGCCATGTTTTTTTATTACCAAAATATGAGTAATAACTGTCAAGTTTGAAAAATTCTGTCATGTTTGATTCGGTTTGAAGTCTGGTACTGCCAAAACATAACATTAATGAATCATATTTTGGGAATAAAAAAATGACAATCATATTTTGGAATTTTCAAACATTTTTAATCCTATTTTGGATAATATTCTCCAAAAAATAACATATATAACCACTTTTCACTCCAATGGCCGAGCTTAACCTGAATTCCTAGATCCGCGTCCCATCTTTCCTTTGAGACACCTTGTTTGAAAGGAGACTATAAAACCTTGCTTTGAGGGACTTGTGGGGGTTATTTTAAAGAAATAATGACACAATGACGACACTTAATCTTTGTGACTCAAAATAATATTCAATACTAACATTTATACGTAGTAATAGTGAAATAAGGATAATATGCACCGGAAAATAAATAGCTTTCTTTTAGGCTAAAGGGTCAAATTGACCCCTGTACCTGTTCAGAATGCTCAATTCACACCCTGAACTCAAAAAAGCTCCAATTCACCCCCTGAACTGAACAAAAAAGTTCAAATCCAACTTTTTGCAGGTTAACTTCCGGTCATCGCCATGTCAGCCGGTTAGATGCCACCTGTGCATCCCACGTGGAAATCTAAGGGGTCAAATAGATCCCTGAACCCGACAAAGTTGTTCAATTTACCTCCCAACCGTTAAAAAGTGTCCAAATTTCCATTAAAAAATAAAAAATTAAAAAAATTTGAAAATAAAAATATAAAATGATATACAAGTTCATAATATAAAATACAGATGTCTATTTTTAACATGAAAATAAATTTTTTATATTTTAGGTAAATTATATATGTATATATAGGAAAAATAGTACGCAAAATACAAAACTTAATATTAATTTGTAAAAAAATGTATGGTTGATTTTTTAAATGGATTTAAAATATCAAAATATTTTTAATGAATTTGTTTTGTTTTGTTTTATGTGAATTTACCGCAAAAATAAGGATATATTTATATTTACAGTAAATTCATATAAAATAAACTAAAATAAATTCATTAAAACTATTTTCATATTTTTAATATGTTTTAGATTTATATGTAAAATTACACACACACATGCATATATGTATATATATTTCGTATTATTCTATTCTAGAATTATATACTACGTACTATACTTCATACTAATTATATGCAACATAAAAATTTTATACTATAAAAAAATTATAATATGTAAATAGCTACGGAATACTACATTTTAATATTACATATTTAAAAATAAGTACCTTCATTATGTTTATATATATTTAATTTACCCTAAAATATAAAAATCGTCTTATTATATTTTAAATAGACATCTATATTTTATATTATGAACTTGTATATCATTTTATATTTTTATTTTCAATTTTTTTTAATTTTTTATTTTTTAATGGCAATTTGGACACTTTTTAACGGTTGGGGGGGGGGGGGGGGGGGGGGGGGGGTAAATTGAATAACTTTGTCGGGTTCAGGGGTCTATTTGACCCCTTAGATTTCCACATGGGATGCACAGCTGGCATCTAACCGGATGACATGACGATGACCGGAAGTTAACCTGCAAAAAGTTGGATTTGAACTTTTTTGTTCAGTTCAGGGGGTCAATTGGAGCTTTTTTGAGTTCTGGGTGCGAATTGAGCATTCCGAACCGGTACAGGGGCCTATTTGACCCTTTAGCCTTTCTTTTATGAGATTGTAATAAGGGGTTTTTTCTTGAACTTAAAAGTATTTAATTAAACACTAAGATGAACACTAAGATGAACGACTTATGTGATTTAAATTAATAGAGTTGAAAATTTGGTTTTGTTTATATCCCTTAGTGAAATGTCCGTCCATCCCGAAGATATCTTTAACTATCTTTCTCTCGAATACTCAATTGTGGAGTGTAGTTATTAATGACAAGACGCATTTATTAATAAAACTTACTATCTGATCAAGAACATGAGCCTTATATTGACCAGATAGTATCAATAAAACTTTAGATCGATTAAATCAACTGAGATTGACAACCTGATACAAGCGGTTTATTGAGTAAATCAATATAATTAATCACCCTTAGATCATTAACCACAAATAAAACTAGTTAAATTTACAAACATAAACAATAAAAATTCTATACTATCACACAAATAATAACTTAGGGATTCTTGTGGACAAAAATAGGATTGCGTTTTAAAACGGACAAAAATCTGACTTGCGTATGAGTTATATAATAGTCGCAACTACCCTTCTCCCTTAACGGCAGAGGTGCCTTGCGCATCGGACGGGAGGGGAGCGGCCAACACGTCCTCGAGATGGGCGAAAAAGTGGAGCCCAAGATCTCCGACCGTTGAATTGTCAGTCAGACGACCGAGAGGAAACAAGACACTCTACCTTACTCTAAAGTAAGGTAAAGACTCTGGATCCCCTTAATCATTAGCTCAGCACACAACTTCTCTCTAGATCTAAATCATGAGTAGACTATGGCTTCGTCAAGTATCTCCATAGATATTTTGGTATTTCACTTTGTAACTGGGTTGCGGCGACGGGTACCTAAGGTGGCAATAGGCATTATTATCGATGGCCACAATGTCGTGGGACGTATTGGACTATTGGTTATCCGCAGTGGTTGGAGGTGTTGGTCAGCAGTAATAATTATATGTCTAACATAAATGATCGAACCCGGTAACTCTAATAATTGGTCAAATTGGATAACTATATAACAGGGTGGGCTAAATAATTGCAATTGGACGGGTTGGGTAAGTGTAACTGGTCGGGTAATTGTAACTGGTGGATTGAGTAAATGTAACTTATTGGGTCAGGTAATTATAACTGGTCGGGTTAGATAAGTGGTTTGTCATTGACGAATTTGTGGTGACTAACGAATTATTGGTCATTGTAGCATTAATTAATGAGATTATATTAGTATAAGGGTATAATAGTCGCTTCACACCTTTTAGTCTCTTTTTTGGGAATTAAATAAAATGACTTTATTTTCTACATCTCATTCTTTCAATATTTAGTACTCCCCGTCCCAAATTGATTTGCAAAGTCAACACATTTTGGTCAACTAATGATAAAGTTAAATCTCCATATTGATAATTAATTCAATAGGTAATAAATAAAATTTACGTTTTTTCAAAAAATAATAAAAATTTACATATTCAGAAACTGCATTAAAACATGTTAATGTTGCAAACTTCAAATTAGAATATAATTGAAAGTTGACATCTTAATTAAGTGGATAAAATGAAATGCTTGACTAAGAAAAGTCAATTTGAGGTAGAGGTAGTCATGTTTTTTTTACATAAGCGCTATTTTAAAAGAGTAGTTATCAATTTGTGAGCAGTTAAAGAAATTAAAAAGATAATTTCGTCAAAGAAAGTTAATACGGGTGCAATAAAAAATCCTGCATGTATAGTATTTGTAAATGAATCGTGGTAGCTTAGTACTATAATACAGTATACTCCGTATTGCCTAGATTCCCACGAGTATATATATTAATAAAACAAAGAATTGAAGTACTTGGTATCTCATCAAACCCTACATACTCCGATCCATCCAGTATGACGCAGCCGGCTACATTCCCTTCTTCGAGTAGAAGCATAATAACGAAGCTCCAAAACCCATTCTCAACCCTACCATTAGATATTATCCGGGACATACTTTCAAGGTTGGAAGGGAGGCAACTGTTGATAGCCCAGTGTGTGAGCAAAGAGTGGTATTCCTTGCTAGAAGACATCAAGCTCTCTTATACTGGGCAACCTCGGATTCTCATCCTCTTCTGTATATATAAACACGGTGGTTTGAAAGTGAGATCCATAAGCCCTGATCTTCGCAGTGAAAGAGTATCCCCGTTCACAGGCCATTTATCTTTGTTCAAAACTGTCGAACAATATGATTCTTATCAGAAAATTGCTCATTATAGTTGGAGGGTTCTGTGTTCATGCAATGGGTTTGTGCTGCTTCGGTTTGGAGAACACATTGTGTTGTGGAACCCGCATACGAGCTGGTCTAAGAAAGTTCTTCAGTTTCAAAGCCTCCTAGATGATAAGTATAAGGTGGTCGGAGGGCTTTGTTACGATCCATCCACGTTAGATCACAAAGTTGTGTTGTTGTTTAGTCATGAACGTCCAGAATACGGTGGTCAATTTGTTATTGTTTCAAGCCTCAAAAGTAAAGTGTGGCGAGGAGTGCCTTTTCCGTATAACTATCGTACTTCCCAAGCTGGGGTGAGCTTTAACAACACACTCCATTGGATGGTGAGCGACATCAAGCTCGCCAACATTAGGGGTCTCGACCATGCTTTTCGTGAATATTTAACATGGAGTGATTTTGCTGCGCACAATAAGATCATTTATTTTGATCTCGTTGATGATGGATTCAAAATATTGCCCCCTCCTAAGCCGCTTAATCCGGAAGAAGAAGACGCAGTAGTTGGTACGGGAATCATAGATGGATGTTTTTGCATGGCTCGAAGGGACAAAAAGAGGCAAGTGATCCAAGTTTCACTTATGAAAGAATATGGAAAACAAGAGTCTTGGATCACCGCCTTTGCAATCTCCTTATTGCCATTTGGACCACATGGTGATTACCACCTCAAGTTTTTGTCTCAAAATGGAATGCTATTCATATTGGTGAAGGGTAATTATTACCAGAAAACATTTGTGTATGATGTCAAAGAAGACAAACTAGAACAGATGTTGCTTTTCCGCGGTGTTAGAGATGCATTCGGCATTTCTGGTATTTGTTTTTACATTGAAAGTTTTTAGTTGCCAAATGGTGTGAGTTGGAGGGATGGTCGATGATGAGCACATATGCAGGTAGGTTTTGAAATGTTTTGAAATATTTGTACTTATTCTTATGACTAAATAAATATTTATTGTGGCTTCAGTATATCAATATTCAATTTGTCAATTCAAGATGCCGGCCAAGAGCACAAGACTGATGACTAATCACTAAGAGCCTAGACTAATGGATTTTTATGATGCAGAAATTTTTAGCCCTTTTGGAATCAATCAATCAAACGCCTCTTAGAATGACTATAATAAGCAATCTTAAGTTCAATTAAAAAGTTCAGTCTTTAGACTTGAAAAGTGAGTTTTTTCAATTCCTTTTTTGTGAAAATACTTGGAATATAGAGTCTTGCACTCTTATTCTGTCATGTTAGGCAAATAAGCAGGGGCCCCAAAAATGAGTTACCCGGCCCTGTAATTAAATCAACCAATGGTTTTTTGAACGTGTCTTAACTTTTAACCAATTCCATTAGCTAGCCTTCCCCTGCTCATCTCTTTAACCCCCTGTATGGTTGGGGGATTTTGGAGGGTAGGGAAGGGGAGGATTCATTTTTTACTATATAAATTTATCTGAATTTGTTAGTTTTTGACTATAAATAAATACTACCTCCGGCCCATTTATATTGGGACGGAAGAGGGTGGCACGATTATTATGAAAAGTGGGTTTGTGTGTTTGATATTACGTAGTAATTGATAAAGTAAGAATACAGTAAGAATGATTTAGAGCTACACAAACTTTGCCAAATATGGTATGTGACAATTTAAGTGGGACTTTCCGAAAAGGTAAAACGAGACAATATAAATGGGACGGAGGGAGTATATAATTAGTTAAACCATGTATATTTATATACTGTTGTGTCCTCATTTTATTTCAATTTGTCTAAGTGTAAAAATTATTTTAAATTTAAATAAGAACCCTCTCCTTCCCCCTCCAAAATCCCCCAACCATAGTGGCGTAAAAGTCGTCCTCCAAAGTGTCAAAATTATGACCATTTGTAGGAATTTCATCCCTCAAAGTTTTGATTACATATTCTCTATGAGTAAACATTTATGGGAAGCTCTTCGGTGCCTCTCTATTGTGGAATGTACCGGTACATCATACATGTGGCTCAATGTCATTGGAAATATATTCCACGTAAGCCACCTCACTAAGAAATTAAAAAGTTTGCATAGTAAACCTTACACAATTAAAATATTCTTGTAGTCAACCATTTCTTTCGTAGATATCTCATTTTCTTCTCCAGATTCTGCTTACAAATTCGAGTGAAATAACACCATGATTTCAAATCAATATCAATGGAGCCAAGAACCAAATTCTAATGATAGTGACTGGGAGCATTTGAGATTCCACGCGGCGGAGTTCGCTAGGGGATTTTCTGAGACGGGTGTCGAGTTCGGGAAGGGGGTGAAGGATGTCGTTATGCGGTGGTATCTTAGGACTGACTCTATGATCGTGAAAAAGCTTGGAGGACCATGCCAGAAGTACCTAATTTTGTTCTACTCTCTTTTATCTAATCGGAAAGACAGTAGGAAGTAGAAGCGAAAGCCAAGTTATTGATATGGTCGTCGGAATGGCGGAGTTATTGGTATGATATTCTAGTAGCGTAGGCGAGCCTTCCCCCGGTTTGGGAGTCAAAATACTTCTAGAAGATGGCTATGCAAATCCTAGCTAGTAGCTCAGAAAGAACTGCAGTAGTGCTAATTTTGCCAGTAAGGTGGTACTCACTCTTGTTTGTTTTGCTTTACTTGCTCAATTCTCTGTCAATCTCGCGGACATGGTTAGGGAGTGTTCGATTTAGGATTACGTTTGATGTGCTCTAGGTGAGATTTTACGATTTGTAGTCATTTAAGTATGTGCATGCATTGAATGAGATAATTGTAGAAGAAAAAACAAAAATCGCATTCATTTGCCCAGAACAAACTGGATAGTTTAGCTAGAATGATGTAAATTAGATTGAATAACTGAAGAAAGAACTTAGAAATCCTGAAGGGGGTAGATTTTGTGTTGTATTTTTATTTTAAATGGACGGAAGTATCACAAATTCAGAGAATCTAGAAACCTTGTTCTCCTACAGCAGATACTTTAATGCACTAGTATAGTGTTTTCGGAATGCATTCTTCTAACCAAGTCTGTATATCTTGGTATCAATTTTTCCTACACTAGATTCGGCATTTTCCCACATATTCTTAGTCATTCCGATCTAAGATGGTCTATCCTAGACCTATTAAGAGGAGTTTTTCCAAGCCAATGGAAATGCTACAAGACACTGTTACTCTTTCAATTCTGCTTTCTAAGTTCAAAAAATTCAAACACTAATCGATTGCTGCATCTCTAGGATATAAGTTCTCTGATGGAAAAATCTCTCTAAAAGTGAAGGTTAGTTGAGAACAGCTGACAACTTCTAAGTGTAGGACTACTTTCAAGATGTTTTTTTAGATGTTCTCTTTGGTTTTTGTTCCATTGCATTTTCTGGTTTGCTTTAGGGTGTGGGAGGAATAGTGCATTAGTTTAACAGGGGAGTTCAATGTTGATAGTTCCAGAAGAGATTCATGGTATCTGTTTAGTCCAAAGGTAATTGATGAACACGCACACTTGTTTTTGTGATGAGTTGGAATTTTTGCAGCCCCAATTGCTTAAACAGCTTGCTCCCATTCAACTTGATGGAACTGTAATGTTTTAAGTTTTAAGAGAGTTTTAGTCCTCGATGCCTTGGATTTGCTGTAGGGACTTATCAGATATTCAAAGCTTCCCTCATGTGCAAATTGTTATGCTCATTGTTTGAACCAGAGGAGATGTGCAACCCTTTGTTGACATCGAGGGAAAATTACAGGTGAAGACATGATTAGGAATTACCCATATATCAATTGATTCTTAGATCCCAACTTTAAGAAAAAAGTACATTGATTATCAGTTTGCTCCAAGGAGCCACCATCCACATATGTTAAGCATACTCTTCATTTAGTTCAACTTTTAGGACCAAAACTCAACTTTAAATAATATAGGTGTCGTGAATATTTGGTTAGAGTTATTTGGCTGAAATGACATTAATTTGTTAAATCCAATTCAGCCAAATAATCAAGCAAAAATGGATGAAAGTAAACGGGACTAACGGCTCTAATCTACCATCTTCTTCTCTCTATTTTCTCTTTAGCGCTACAATTTTGTAGTGTTGTTCATCATTTTCACCCGTCAATGTGTTCTATCAGTAATATTTACCCCTATTTTTAATTCATTCTGAACCCCTAATTCTACACACTTCAGTAATACCCCTTGACAGCTTTATTGTTAATTGGTATTTTCTGTAATTCTACACACTTCAGTAACAATGTCTTATGACCTTAATAAATTAGTCTATAGTGAAAATTAAAGAACATTAGTCTGTTTTGTGATTTGAATTTACAGAGGCCGGAGTTGTCAAAGGCCTGGTTAACTTGGTTTACACTTTTACAGCCAGGAGAGCGGGGTAAAATGCTTCTCTAAGAGTCAAAGGAAGAAGAGTTTGAAGATTAGTTCAAAGCTAAGGACGCCGCCATGGTGTTTCAGATTAGGATGATAGGCTCTTAAATGATAGAAATAGTTTATAGGTTAAATGATATTGGGGAATGGTTGCTATTGTTGTAAACTCATCATGAGTGCTTTTGGGTATGCTTTTGTTTTGACTATTATTATGGGTGTGTTTTGGTGAGTGGCTACTTCTATTGTTGTGGCTATTCTTTTGTTAGGGCTATTGATTTTGTGATGGCTATACTTTTTCTATGGCTACTGATTTTTTTAACACATAATGAATGTTTTTGGAAAGTTATCAATATAATGTCAAGTATTTTAAATATGTTATTTGTGATTTGTTTCAATGTCTCGTGAGAATGTCAGCATGTCATATGCATTTTATGTTAAGCCTTTCAATGTCATCTAGAGTTTATTGGAGTACTTTATTAGATAGAAATAATTCACAGGATGGATGAAACAATACAGATAAGTTTTTCAAACATGTTAATTCATGATGGTACAATAAGCTAATCTGGGTTTTTTATTTAATACGGAGTACATGAAAAATGGGCTAGTTATCAACTAAATACATAATTTATAGAACAACTTGATCTAGAATTGCAGATGAATAAATGATGCATAATAAGAGATTGTTGAGCTTCTGGTAGTGAAATTGCATATCTTGCATATACCCCGGGGATGTCACTAGATGTGTTCCTGCTTTTACATATTAATAAATATGAAAACTGTAATAACAAAGAACAACCAGGTCAATAACGACTAATCCGGTAAAATCCGCAGTACACTATTAAAGCTTTAATCAGAACCCTTAAACAACAAAATAATAAACTCATATTCACATACACAAAAAACTATTGTTTACATAAGAAAGCTTTACAAAAAAACATAAGAAAGCTTTACTAAGAAAGCACAAGACTGGGGGAAACTTCAAGATTACATTGAAGTGCACATCGTTTAGCTTTATTAACAATAAATAAGAACACAATGCTACCAGCAAAAACCATTGTTTGCATTGAAATACACCATATCAAAACAGCCTAATATCAAATTAATATATTAACAATAAATAAGAACACAATGCTACTAGCAAAAACCATTGTTTGCATTGAAATACACCATATCAAAACAACCTAATATCAAAATCAAACCAAACTGTCCTAATGAACTAAACTTGTTCTTGAAGAATCACACATTCTTCTTCAAAAAAAAACTTGTTCTTCTTCTTTTCATTTACAAGTAGCACTCTGACACATCTAATGTCCTTCTTGATAGTATGTAGTCAATTGTTGAGCAAACTCAGAAATCATCTCTTGCATTTGATTTGTAATTCGGTACTTATTCACCATGAACCACATTCTTGTTTGCTTCCAATCCTTCCATTACATCCTTTCACACCCAAAAAACACATCCTTCAACCTATTATAAAAAACCAAGGTCCAAGAAACATTTAAATCAATAGCATTTTCACATTTTCAATTCTATACATGGATTCTTTATCTTTTTCAGCGTTATCATTAATTTGATTACCAAATAGATCAACACAATTATATTTAGATTCAGATTTTCAACCTTTTTA